ATATAACTACAGACCATGCCAATGCCTTTCACGATCCTCTTACTTAATTTTCACCCAGGATCGTAGGAGTTGGGTTCTATCATCATTCCCATTTGGAGATGAGGCATGGTGAGGTAAGTAAGCTGCCTGAGATCCTATACTCAGGAATGGCGACGCCAGTGCCATCTGAACAAGAACCCCTGCTCCTACCCATTATGTACCCTGCAAAGAACTGAATTATTTTACTGAGTAGCACTTACAGCTTCATTAAAAGCAGTCACAAGCCAAAAAGTTAAACTATAATTTTTAAAAACATATTTTAGATTTAGACTTTTCATCAAATGACTACACTTCTCATCTATTTCCTTCTCTGTTCTCAACATTACTGCAATGGAGTGGAAGACCAGAGAGACCACTGCCAAGCCATATCCCCTGATACAGCTCGCTGTACTTGTATTAGTTAATTGCTCAATTCTATGCAAAGCCAGTTCAAGTCTCAAATTTTCCATACTGGCTACCAAGCAACAACTACTTCCTCAATGACAGCATGAAACACTTTTATCTGTTTGCAATCATCACATTTTTTTACCTAAAGTTTTCCTAATAGAAATAAACCCATAGATGTAGTTCAAAAGTAAACTTTATAATTGTGTAGGAAAAAAAGAATAAGAAAGGAGGAGGAATGATAAAGAGATGGAGAGAGAGAAACAAAGGAAACAGAGAACATGAAAGGGGTGAGGGAGGCAGGGAACTGCTGTGCTGGTCGCACTGGCAAGGCACCCGGGCCTTCATCCCCCAGCTGCATGCCCACTCAACAAAGTGTGAGCCGCAGGACAAGGACCCTCTCTCTGTGCAATCTGGGGAGCCCCTGAGGGAGCCATAGAGCCACATTTAGCGGTCTTCTCAGTCTTCAGTACAAACCTCCCCTGCAGAAGTTTCCAGGCCTTGAGACTATTTCATGTACCCCACATTCACACTGTGTGTGTTCCTCAGCTGGTTTTGTGTACCATCTCTCCAATACATCTCCAAAAGATTCGCTCTCCACTCCTTAAGCAGAATGGCCTGAAACAGCAAGGTCCCACTAGACTGGAAGTTTCTTGTAAGTAGAAACCATGGTTTTTTACTTTGAATAGCAACACCCGACAGTGCTGGGCATTCAGTGGGTCACTGCTGAATGAATGAATGAATGGGCGGTCTTGGGCCTTATCCAATACCACTACCATACCCCCAAGCAGGCCTACTAAAATGATTAGGTGGTCATCTGCTATACAGGAGAAAGCCAAAATTTAACATGCCTACCTCAGAGGATCTCAAGTGTGGGCTACAGAGGATGGTGATATGCCAAAGGGTCATGAGTACCAATGCCCACCCAGAACCAGGACCCTGGACAAGCTTCGAAGATCCAGAGAAACTAAAAGTCACCCCCAAGAGAAGTGACTGCCTACCTCTGTGAAAACCAGCAGGAAAACTCAGCTCCATGAACACTGGGGTGAGGCTTACTCACTCCTGGATCCCTCAGCACTACACCTACCATGTGTGGCCAATGCCCACACATATCTGGTGGATGGCTGGATGGATGAAGGAGAGATGAATGTGGGAATGAATGGATGAAAGAGTGGGTAAGTGGGTATGCAAGCAAGCGAGCAAGTGAAAAGAATGAGCAAAGATGGAAAGACAATCTCCTGTGCATTAGGAATGATTTCGTGACTGGACAGGCAAGCCCCTGAGCTGATCTGTGCTCCACGAATACCCAAAACTTATCCTCAGTTATAATCAAGAATAACAGACCTTCAGGCCGGCCCGGTGGCGCACTGCTACAGTGCGCCGCTTGGGAGCGTGGCGGCGCTCCCGCC